ATGTTTGTTGGCTGGACCTTAGTTTTTTTCAGCATTAAATTATTATGGCAAAACTGTTTTTAAGTCTCTAGTGGGCTTGATCTTTGTGTTTGTTTGTTTGTTTGTTTTAGCAGCATTAGGATTTAAGTCCAGAGCTCAGTCTTTCACTGAAAACAATTTCTGGGGAATGAAATCAGGGAAGAAAATCTCCAAGCTATTATTTGGACTGGAAAATAAGTGTTACTATAAATTATTTAATCAACTAAATATATACGTACAGGGAGGGGTCGCTATGAGTCGGGGCCAACTCGACGGCAAACAACAACAACAACAGGCTTTTTAAAAAAAAATGCAAGACAAAAGATAAAATGCTGTTTGGTGAGGAAAATTAAAAATATGTCTTTATTTCCACAACAGTTTGTTGAGAAAGCATTTTCAATTACCTGACATCACCATCTCCCACAATCACATATATCTTGTATGTATTCATTTTCCCTCAAATGTAACTGTTCAGTCTACATTTATTTTTGTAAATACAGGTTCATGACATTAGAGACTTTTCTGTTTTGTTCATTCCTCTCATATAATCTTACCCTGTAGAAGCACTAAGTGTGTATTTTTGAATAAACTAAGAAATTAATTAATGAATATATACTTTTTAAGTTTATCAAAAGAACAAAAATTATTATCTCCTTTCTACAGATGAAGGAAACTTATTTGGATGACATTTGTAAATGACACAAAATTGAAAGTGGTGGTGACAGGGCCCAAAGTTTCTAAGTTTCTTCATTCAAAGATCTGGTGAGTCATCTGTAGAAAAATGTGCTTTGCATAAAAAAATAATTTGGACATATGCAATATATTCCTAATATTTGTGCCTTATTTTAAAGTTGATACCAATTATTACATGTTCATGAAAATCTGAAGACATTCTTGGAAAACTGAAAGAGCTATTGAATTAGGAAGAAGTGCTTGATAACCATTTGCATGTTGAATGCAGCCAGTGTATGAAAACCACAAAAAAGGAAATAGCTTGTTTAATGAGACAAATAGCACCTGTAAAACTTGGGAAGAACTTTTTCATTCTGTAAAAACAGGATACAAAAACTACCTTACAGGAATGAAGTAGAATCTGTGAAATACCATATAACGTGGATGAACTTGGAGGACATTATGCTGAATGAAATAAGATATTAATGGAAAGACAAATATCGTATTAGTTCACTATTGTAAAAAGTCAACAAAAAGTTTATATATGGAAAGAAACTGTTGGTTACCAGAGATGGGACGGGAGGGGAGTTATTGCTGATAGATAGGTAGAAACAAGTATTGATTCGGATGAAAGGAAGGGAAATGTACCAAAAATGAATGATCAACAAGATGGCACTGATGAAGAGGAAGACAGAGAGGTACACAAGAGGTACAGACAAGAAAGATAAACCCTTTTACATATATAGTACTGTGCTATCAGTGATAACAAGCATTAATCTGCTGACGAATAAATGTGTAGACATGGTGAATAATCTATGTATATCTAGGTATGTCTAGGGAAAAGGGAGTATACCCATGACCCTATATAAGATTGGCAGACAATATTTCTACATACATATTTGTATGTGCCTTAAGAATGTCCGAATATATAATATATAAAAAGGGACAAAATTATTATAATTTTTTAGCCATAGAAAATCACCCTGAGGGAGTGAGTAGTTGGATCTGTGGACTTGGGATAATGGTCACAGGGGACATCAAGCTCAATTGGTGTAACATACTATACAAAAACATTTTTCTGCATCCTATTTTGGTGAGTAGCAACAGGGGTTTAAAACTTGCAAGCAGACATGTAGATACAATGGGTTTCTCCTCAACCAGTGCAAGAATAATGAACAAAACCAAAGACACATGGAAACAATTAGTCCAAGAGATTAGTAGGACATGAGACCCTCACCCCACATGACCATGAGACAAGAAGAACTAGCTAGTGCCTTCCTACCACTGTCAACTACTCAAAAGGGATCAGTGCAGGAGATCCTGGGTAGAGTGGGAGAACAATGTGGAAAAAAACACAAAACCAGCAAAAAAAGAGACCAGGTGTGTTGGTTTGATAGAGCCCTGTGAGACACCAAAGACTACGGACCCTATTTACCCTTTGGCTTCCAGCCAAACAACGGACAGGCATATAGGTTGAACATTGACATTGACATCCAGTAGATATACTTCTTAGAGTGATCAATCATGAGAGAACAGAAGGACCATACTTGCACAGGGAGATGACCGGGAGGGCAGGAATACATAGGAAAGAAGAACACAGGGAAAATGTAACTACAGGGAAGAAGTGGGAAGAGAGCTGTTACATTGTGGGAAATTGTAATCAATGTCATGAAACAAAATGTGTATGAATTGCTGTATGGAAAATGAATTAGCTTTGTAAAATTTCAGCCAAATCACAATTTTAAAAAATAAAATAAAATAAAAGTAAAATAAGTAAATAAATAAAATAACTACCTTTCAGGATTATTGAGAGATTCAGAAGTGATAAAATACAAGACTGAGAAAATTTTTGTTCTATTATACATATGTGGCCATGTGTCAGAGCAGACTCAACTGCAAATAACAACATCATATTACATGTATTCAGAAAGTATCTGAAAATACTATATGCCCTAAAAATAATGATTTAAAACAATAATAATAGTTACATTTCTTGAGGTAACAAGGGACATTTTAAGTAGCAAATATGAGGTCTTGTGCACTTTCTCAAGTTTGTTTCACCCATCGTCACATCTAATCTTGACCATGTGCTGTGAAAAAGAGATCATATTTCCTAACTTGATAAAGATATCAAGACTTAATATATAGTTAAAATGTCAATTTCATGCAGTAATTGAACCATTATTCTAACCTATATAACTTAAAATAAGAGCTCTTAATCATTATGAATTATTATATTTTCTCCTTTTCTATTCAAACTACCAGAAATAACTATCCAATATATATTATCTTTCATACATTTAAAAACATAGAGATAATATATTGATAATAGAGGCTAACAATTTCCTCTTCTGACCCAAATTTCATATGGGTAAATAAGTAGAGATAATATTTTAGTTAATCAACAGTTATTAAATAAAAATATTTTATAATACTAAATACATGTAAAGAACTTAACGGTGCTGAAAAACAAACAAAAAAAAAATTGTACAAAATACAATCCTTGGGGAATTTAGGAAGAACATGAAAGACAGGAAAGACAAAGCAACTACTCAATTTCCCATCAATGCAAAGCAAGGTGAAATAGCATTTCATACCACTCATCAAAAAAAAAAAAAAAAAATTGCTCAGATTTTCCATGAAAAATCCATGTCAGATGTTTAATAAGTTCACCACAGAGAAGATAAGCCAAAAGACATTTGAAAGATTTGGGCACAATTTGGGAGATCTTATTTCCAAAGAAATATTTGAACTGTAATCAATATAATCACAGAAAAGTCACTTGTCTGCGATTCTAAGTGTCATAGTTATTAATTGCTGCTGCTGTTGTTGTCATCACTACTGTTATTATTGTTGGTTTTATTGTGAGAGAATGAGAAGAATGTGTTGAAAAAAAAAAGAGGAAATTTAGGAAAATATAGGTCGCACAGATAAGTCAATGGGAGAGCTGGATAATGCATCCATTGTAGACTAAATCAAAGAAAAGAGAGAAGAAATAAGCAATTAATTTAGAATAAGGATATGGAAGAAATAACCAACAATGTGATTAATGGTGTAGAAATGGATGAAACCTGTTCAGAGATTTTGTAGACAATGTTAAATTATAAAAGCAGAAAAACAAAATTAGTAGTTTAAGATGAAAGAAAAAGCTGAATTAAAAATGTCAAATATCATGACACAATTTTGTCGATGTTTTTGTTTTTCAGCAAGTGAATGAAAGAAAATTGGAAGAGTTGCAAAATTGAAGATGATAATGAATTAATATTAGGGGAAGTTTCTAGAGACTTTAAGAGGAACTGGAAGCATTAGCATTCTGCTGAAAGGAGGCACATACCTCTTACTACATGACAGAGAAGTGATTAGAAAAATAATTCAAAAAGTAACTCTTAACAGAAAATGAGATGATTCAGTGTTGGGAAAATGCCTGAGGTACAGAGGTTTTGATAATCTTGACATATGAAATGAACATTATATGGCATACTGGTAGAAGATAAGATAATTTTGACATAATTATGCATAGAGCATTAATTCTAGAAAGGAGACTACTTTCTCCAGTATTGTCTATAGGATCAACATAAGAGAGTAAGACTGGAAAAAAACAACAAGATATTATTCTATTTACACAACAATATTACGTGATCTCCAAAATTCCTTTTAAAAGCCAACAATATCAATATAATCTATATTGAAATTACTAATAACAGTAAATATAGTTTCCATTGTGTTGTGTGTCAGAGTAGAACTGTTGTTGTTGTTATGTGCCGTGGAGTCAGACCTGACTCATAGTGACCCCTCCTTGGGTTTCCAAGGCAGTATCAATGTGGAAGTAGATTGCCCCATCTTCCTTCCAAAAAATATTCAGTAGTTGTTTTTTGGAAGCATATCATGAAGGAATTCTTCTGAGGCACTTTTGTGTAGATTCAAACACACAGCATGTTGGTTAACAATAAGCCTGTTAATCATTTGTACCACTGAGGCACTCAATTTATATTTACAGCTATCTAGCTGATCATGAGAAATTCATATATTCACATAAAATAGGTAGAAATGTTTATCAAATCCTTATATATGTTCTGTTTTTGAGAAAATATTCTTGGTTTTAATTTCACTCCTACAATAGGATAAAAATATTACAGAGGCTAATAAAGCAGTACATAATTTACTTTCCAAAATATTAGGCAACTCAATAGCAACTAGAATTAGGAAACAGGCAAGAGAAAAACAATTGAATGCTATCTTTTCACAAGATAATTCTTCTTGTGTTTGGGATTCCTCTCATTGCCTCCAAAGTAAAAACTGCCTCATCAGAGATGCCCAACTCCACCATGATGATGGAATTTCTCCTGATGCGGTTTTCTAATGAATGGGAACTACGGGTTCTGCATGCCATATCCTTCTTTCTGATGTATTTGATCACTCTTACTGGGAATTTTCTCATTGTTATTGTCACCACTCTAAACAAGAGCCTTCATACCCCCATGTACTTCTTTCTCAGGAATCTATCCCTCTTGGATGCAAGCTACATTTCTGTAACGGTGCCTAATTCATGCATCAACTCCCTGCTTGACAGCAATACCATTTCAAAGGCAGGATGTGTAGCTCAGGTCTTCTTAATGATTTTCTTTGTGTATTTGGAGATGCTGTTCCTCACAATCATGGCCCATGACCGCTATGTGGCCATCTGCCAGCCTCTCCATTACCCTGTGATCATGAACCCTCAGGTCTGTGTCCAGATGACACTGGCTTCCATCCTCAGTGGTCTGGTGTACTCAGCATTCCACACAGGTAACACCTTCAGGTTGTCCTTTTGTCATTCCAACATTATCCATCAGTTTTTCTGTGACATCCCCTCTCTGTTGAAGCTCTCATGCTCTGACACTTTCAGCAATGAGATAATAATCCTTGCCTCTGCTCTGGTGATTGGTGGAGGCAGTTTCATCTTCATCATCAGGTCTTACATTCACATATTTTCAACTGTGCTCAGGTTACCAAGTGGAGCAGACAGAGCAAAGGCCTTTTCCACATGCATCCCTCATATCATCGTGGTGTTGGTATTCCTCAGCTCAGGCTTGTATGTGTACCTAGGGCCATCTGCAGTCTCTGCAACCATCCAGGATGTGATCCTTTCTGTGCTCTATTCTGTAATTCCTCCTCTCTTCAACCCAATTGTTTATAGTCTTAGAAATGAACAAATAAAATGTGCCATCAGGACAAGCTTTAAACAATTATTTGGGTCAAGAAATTTATAGGAAATTGAATAGGCTCACCCTAAGCTTTAGTTGAAATTTGTGCTCTCATCAGTAAGTTGAGATTGTAGATTGGAATTTTGACTCATAGTGACCCCTCCTTGAGTTTCTGAGATGGTATGTATATGGTAGTCGATTGCCTCGTCTTCCTTCTGAAGAGTGGCTGGTGGGTTTGAACCACCAGCCTTCTGGTTAGCAGTCAGATGCCTTAGGCACTACACCACCAGAGCTCCCTATATAGATGTACTCTATGTAAATTTCATATATCAGTTCATTAAAATAGATCATTTATCAAAATATTTACTTTCTGAGAGTTGTGAATGATTTGAATTGCATTGTCTGAAAGATCTGGTGTTATGGATAAGCAAGGCTAATCATATATGTTTGGTAGAATTATAACAATTGTTAAAAATTTCAGTCTAAAAACGTCTAAAATGTTACCCTTTCAAAACTAAACACACTGTTGTTAAGTCGTATCCAACTCATAGTGACTCCTCTTTGGGTTGCCCAGGTGGTATCTTTAGCAATATTTTATGTGGAACTTTACCTTCTATGTTTACTCATGAATAAAATATTGGTAAACCTAGAAGAAATACCATGTCAATTTATTTTGAAATGTCTCATTTAGTAGTGTAGAAGAAAGGGAAACACACAGTCACTTATTAATTTGCAAAATAATTATGAAAATATAGGTTCTTTGGTAGATCATAGATATATCACTAAACATTATATTCTGCAAACATAGACAGGTTTGGTTGAGGTGACTGTGTATGATGAGATGAGAAACACTTGATACTACTTTCCCTATATTGTAAGTAAAATATATAGATAAGTTATAATAAAACCAAAATTTTGTGAGAAAAAAGCGAAATTTACTTATTGATACTTGTAAGAAATGTTGAAATGGATTTTTTTTTTTTTCTATATATATTTACACAATAAAAATAAAAGTTAAGTGATTTGGGGATACCTTTACTTCATAATAAAAATAGAAGTTAGGTGGTTTGGGGATACCTTTACTTTTTAATATGCTTTAAACATTATTTTCTAGGGCATGCATGAGTTATATTTTCCCAGTTTTTATCACAGGATATCCACAGATCTGAAGGCAGCCAGATGGACCAGTGGTTAAGCACTCAGCTATTAACTCATATTGTCAACAATACAAACCTAGCAGCCACTCCATGGGAGAAAGATGTGGCGGTCTGCATCCGTAAAGATGACTGCCTTGGAAACACTGTGGATAGTTTTCTGTCTTTTAAGATCGCTATGAGTTACAATTGATTCAACAACAATGGACTTAGTTTTGGTTTAATCTATAGAGCTCTGGTAGCACAGTGGCTAAGGCACTTGACTGCTAACCAGAAGGCTGGTGGTTCAAACCCACCAGCCCCTCCCAGGAAGGAAGATGGGGTGGTCTACTTACATAGTGATACTACCTCAGAAACCCAAGAAGGGGTCGCTATGAGTCAGGTTCAACTCGATGGCACGTAACACATACACACACACACACAATAGATCCATTAACACCATTGCAAAGTTAAAAGTAATGTTATTTTTCTTATGGATGTGTCACATATCTGAAATAATAATTTTGATCATCAAGAGTATCAGGAGATATCAGGAGGTTATTATAGTTAATACAGGAACTATTAACACCAATACCTTACTGGCTTAAGGAAAAAAAAAAAAAATTACTAACTCAAAATGTCTCCAAAATGGGGGTCAGTAGGGAGGAAGATTCTATACCGGATGCTCTTCACAACATACAAATCTAGTGATTTGATATGCATGAATTTAAGCATTTATTTTTTAAACAATCTAAGTTGGAAGAAATGATGGGTTCACTCATCAGTCAGAAACTAAATGACTGATTCATCTTGGACTTGACCACATCAGCATTATGAATTATTTCATAAATATAGATATAATCCACAAAGATCTCTGGACTTTGTGTACAATTCAATAATATTCATTACATTCATGGCTCTGGTGGCATAGTGCCTAAGGCATTTGACTGCTAATCAGAAGGCTGACTGTTCAAACCCACCAACCACTCCTTGGAAGGAAGATTAGGCAATCTACTTCCATAGAGATACTGCCTCAGAAACCCAAGGAGCGGTCACTATGAGTCAAAACCAACTCGAAAGCAGTGAGTTTTATTTTATTTTATTTTTTTTGGGTTTAGAGTACTGTGGACCTATCACAACTATTCATTTCCAAAGTTTGTTGTTGATTATGTTTATTATATATACGTAATATGATTGATAACTTCACTTCACTACATATTACTTTACCTACACTTTTAATAACATGAAGTGATATTACAGTTTTAATCTTTATTTGACACTCATGAGCATCATACTAGAATCCTTGGCATAATTAAAATATAAAAGATATGGAGCCCAATTAAATTTTCCAAAATATTTAAGGTGCAATGAATTATGACTGGAATCTAAGATTGGGTTTTTTTCCTGAGTGTCCATGACAAACTTGTTTGATATTTCAAAACCCAAGTGGGGCTACAGAAATGAAAGGAAATATTTTCCCAGAGACAACATACAAAGAACCCTTTCCTAGAGCCAGTGCCTTTAATTTGGACTTCTAGCCTCCTTCTGATCTATGATAAACATATTCAAATTATTTAAAGTCTCCAAGTTGTAGTAGTAATTTTGTCTAGGAAAGTAAGACACTCAATATCTGTATTGCCTGGTCTTGGACATTACAGTACATCATTTCTGTCATCTTCTGTTTAGGCAGTTAACAAAAACTTGTCCAGATTTAAGGATAGAGTATATAAAATCCAGTTCTTGAAGGCCATGTATGGGAAATATAGTTTTAGCCACTTTAAAAATATATATGGAATAGTCACTTTTATGGACACCTCTTATCCACAGATAAAATACACTCATGCCTCACTCAGTGCATCTCATCTTCCAATATAATTTAACTAATTAGCATTTCAGGCTCACCAGTTTATAAGTCTGGGAGCTCTGGTAGCATAGTGCCTAAGGCACTTGACTGCTAACCAGAAGTCTAGTGGTTCAAAACCACCAGCCACTCCTTGGAAGGAAGGTTGGGCAATCTACATCTATAATGATACCACTTTGGAAACCCAAGGAGGGGTCACTATGAGTCAGGTCCAACTCCACAGCACATAACAACAACAGCAACAACAACAACAAGTTTATATGTCTAGAGGAGGAGTCACCATGAGTATGGTCTGACTGGATGGCACATAACATAACATCATAATACAGATCAGATCCAGGGAGACCTGAGACACCTCAGCTGTAGTTATGTGAGTCAGGTCCATTAATGTCATTCTTCCTTATCTGAAAGCCCATGAGGTGACAAGAAAGTTACCTGCCCTTCTCACTCACCCTATGCACAATGGTCAAACAGGCATACTATCATGGTTTTAGGCATATCTGTTCAGCAATGATCAAACAGGAAAGTACAAAGATGTCACTGGTCACAACAATTTGAAATGTAGTTGAATATCTCTTCCTCAGTTAGGATTAGTCCTGTGGCCTGAAAAGCTTCTGTAAAACTTATGGCTTTGCTCTCTGGCTCAGATTTCACAGAGATGAAGTATTGACTTCCCAGTCTTTCTTCCTTCTGAATAAGTAAATTGAGTTTACAACTGAGATGACTTTTCAACTTGTTGCATGATTTGGTTGGGAGTCTAAACGACCTCTTTCAATTATATAATGTCTCTTTGTGTGTACAATTTTAGGTTTCCCAAGCTGCTTCTCACTTCTGACACAAACTGCAAGTTAATGGATGTCCAAAACGACCAGGTTCAAAAATTTACTAGAAGGACTAAGAAAACTGAGAAAAGTCATTATGGTCATCCTTACTGTTTATAACAGCAAAAGGACACAGACTAAAACAATCCAAGAGGAGAGGCACATAAAGGTAGGGCCTAGAATTGTTCCAAGTATTAACTACTAACTGGGTGGTCTCAGTGGAGTCATGTTCTTTTCTATGTGTGGCGATGTGCTTGTAGTACAGTCAACTAGGGCAGCTCATGAAGCCACAATGGTGTCTAGAATTTTGATTGGGACTCATGTGGTTGACCTTAGTTTCCAGCCCTTTCGGTGTGCAAATGAATACTATGTGAGTGGTTGAAAGGCCCCCACAGTAAATCATATATTTTCATAGACTGTCTGGTGTGTCCCAAAACCCCAGGTAAGTAGTGATGCTCTTATCAGATAAGATATTTCAGGTATTTATAAGTTACCTTCCAAGAGTCAAGAGCATAGGTGAGACCTTACTTTGGGTAAGGTTAATCCCTACCTGTATAGTTCTGATACAAATTGATCATTGGGTCAGCATTAAGATATTAAAACCAAATTAGTCTATAAAGAATTTTAATTCAAATGCTATAAACTGATGTAGAAAACCATGCTCATTACATAAGGAAAAGCAAACTCAGATTTATATTTAAATGTATATGTAAGTTGGACATATGTAATAGTGTAGACTTATTTGAACATTATGTAAAATAAAATAATCTATTTCTTATAAAGAGGAAAGGTCACATTTTTTCAATAATAAAAGATTAACAAAAATTAATTAAGTCATGTGAAAATTGAGAATATTTGTTTAGTAAAGGGCATCATGGCCAAAGTTAACACACTAACAAAAATTGAATGAAGGTATTTCCCACATTCACTGATGTTAGCCAATGACATCTAAAACATTTTGGGAAATTCTGTACATTAGAAGACTATAAAATTAAACAAGGTAACAGTTGTTTGAAAAGATGCCCTGTTTCATTATCAATCAAGGAAATGACTGTAAAATACCACTTTGGGCCCAATGGAATAGAAATACATTAGAAGTTAGATATTACTAAGTGGTGCCATTAAAGTAGCAAGATAAAACTTCTTAGGAATGCATTTGGAAATATGGTTCTGATATGGACATCCCAGAGGCCAATCTGCTGGTATCTACTTAATCTGGTCCCAACTCATGGTGACCCCTCCTTGGGTTTC